CCCCCCCCCCCCCCCCCCCCCCCCCCCCCCCCCCCCCCCCGGGAGTACCTTCTGCCTAACTTTCCTTTTCTCATCCAAATATCCCACCAAACACGAACTCCCTGGAAGCAAACTCACCTGCCTCTGCGGATTCCACACTCGGTGGATGGGAACCCATCTGCTATTAGTAAACAGGGTAAATGGTTGAGCCCGTGACTCCTATGGCAACATCACATCCAATTCGTGCAGGTGAGAACCCCAGAGGCAGCATTCCAGTTAACAGTGAGATGTTAAAGAAAGTGACAAGTTGCCCCCTTGCTGGTGAGGATCAATTTCCATTCATCTGCCCAAAGACCACAGAGGGTCCTGAGCTCAGTTACACACCATGGTTTGACCTCTGATGCCACCAACTTTTTCCCTGTCCATCCTCGGAAGGCTGTGCTGAAGAGCAAGGCAGACATCAGGAAAGAAGTGGCAGACGGCAAAAAAAAAAAGCCCCCAAATCACCACGGGCTGACTCTTCTAAGTCCTTAGCAGTGTTCAGAGCATTCTCCTCTGACCGAAGCCCTGTCTTCCATTCCAGGTAGACTAGCAAATTAACAAAGGTCACGCTAGCGGCATGAAGGACAAACACAGAGCCCACAGGATGCCTTGACCCAACACTCCCAGGGCTGAACTGGGTCCAGGATGGCGACTACGTGGCTTGGGCACTACCACCCTCTCTTTCCAATCCCATGGCACCACTGCGGTTCAATCACAACACTCCTTCCCATTGTGCCTAGGCGACTCGAACCAACACCCCCAGCAGCCACTATCAACAAATCACTGACTCAACTTCAGGTTGCGGAAATCTACTTGCCGACCCCATGCAGTCAGACCAAGCCTGCCAATGTGAGGAGAAGAGAAGCAAGCTCTGAGCTCACCCCAAGCAGACAGCCCCAGGCTCTCTTGCCCCTCCTCCAGAAGCATTTGGATGATGTTTAGGGAAACGCCCCCGCTCCCATATGCTTCCTCCCCACCCTCTTAGCGCTGGCCACCACCACCTCCCCCGGACAGCCGGTCCTCCGAGAGGTGACGCAAAGTAAATGCCAATTCGGACCCAAATTCCGACTGGCAGCTGGCAGGACTGGCAGAGAACCCACTTCTCCCTTTCAGGTGCTGGCTCAAGGCTGAGGACTTGGCCAAGCAAGATGGTACCAATCCTTTTTCAGTCTATCATCATGGCCAGCAAAGAGGTAACCAGCTCACAAGCACAAGTCATTGCTCCCACTCCTCCCCCAAAACCCACCCACAACCCACCCCCTGCACCCTGGGGAGCTAGTTAAGCTTGTTGCAGATCTCCAGCGCTTTCTTGTAGACCTGAGTCACATCGTCCATGTCCACGAGGAGGGAGAAGCTGCTGTCTCCCAGCCGGTTCCGGTACCGCTTCAGGTACTGGGGCCGCGGCCGGTTCTGGAGCCCCTCAAAGTCCTGGATCTGGAGGAAGTTTTCAGCAGAGACGCAGCTGCGGATGCGCTGGCGGGCAGGGCGATTCTCCTGCAAGTCCAGCAAGTCGAAGGAGTCGCTGGACAGGACGCTGTCGTCACTGATGACGCTGGAGGGCCGGCTGTAGCTCCGGGAGAGGCCTTCGGCGGGGACGCCGGGCTCCAGCAAGGATTCCAGTGTGGGCATTTCGGGGCTGACGAGGGCCGGGTCCATAGTCCCTGCTGAGTACTTGCTGCTGTGTTTCAAGATGCCCTTCCTGCGGCAGGAGAGGCTGTGGGAAGTGCCCCTGGCTGGGTCTGGGGGGCTGGGCGATGGGACGCTGCTGCCCAGCGCATCGTTACTGTCCAACAGCTCGGAAGATTCGCTGCGCTCTGGGGACGAATAGTACCCCGATTCTCTCTGCTGGGTCTTCTTCAAGATGCCCTTCTTGGGCATCGTGGCCGACTGCTTGGGGCTGAGTTTACCGGGCACCTCTGCCTCGGGGGAGCTTGGGAGGGGCACACCAGTCCGACACAAGTCCTGCTCCATCTTGAAAGCAGAGGGCAAGGCAGGGCTGACCACGCCTTCGATGAAGCCCGTGCTGTGGGAGCGATGTTCACTGTTGCTCCGCTTCTTCAGGATCCCTTTGGGCCTCTTAGAGCTCAGCTTGGATGGGCTTTCAGGCACCGAGTCCTGGCCAGACTGGGCAAAGTCATTCTCTTTCTTGGACTTTTTCAGTGACCGCTGCCGCTCCAGCATGACTTCTGAGGCCCCGGGTTTGGCCAGGCCCTTCATTTTGGCTTCAGCCTCAGCCTGCAGCCCCGTGGAACGGTGATGCCAGTCGATAATGCGAGCCAAGAGCGGTGACTCGGAGTTGTGCAGTGCATCACAGTCACAGACACTGCTCTTGTAGCCCCAGTTCACCCACCAGTGGTTGGCGATGTCCTCAATGGTGGCCCGGCGATCGGGGTTCACCATCAGCATCCACCGAATGAGTCCTCGAGCGTCTGTGGGACAAGAGAAGAAGAATGATACGTCGCACGGAAGCCTTTGGCCTTGACGGGGCCACCGCTGTAGGGGTAAGGAGACCCCACTAGGGAATGGGAGCCAATGTCTTCCAGACAGTACATCAAAAGCATCATCAGGACGCAGAACCACAGGCCAGTGCACTGTCACATCTTGGCACGTTTTTGCATAGAAATAAAGGAATGTCCTAGAACTACCAAGCTCTCCATCAGCTCAGATCTTCATTAAATGGGGAAGTCCAGGTAACCAGAACAGATTCCAGACCCGGCCCCAAGCAGGCCCCACCATTCCTTCGGTGGCTATCGTTTTACCAAAAGGGAAAACAGGTGGAGGTTACCGAGGCTTTTCTTTCGACCTCCAAGGTAGGCTCGTGGAAACACACCATGCTCAAGGTCATGGGGGAAAGTGTGTCAGCATGAAAAGGAAACTGAGGGCTGAGATGGTGAGAAAAAGGCTCCTCATCAGAGAAGGAAAGACAGAGAAGGGTGGAGAGGGGCTCACATCTGGCATACCTGGGCAGGGAGAGGGGCCATCCCCAAGGCTGGCCTGACCCCGGGCCTTGGCCAGGTTCTGAGACCCACACCCAGTGAGCTCACCTCTTCTCCCTCTCTGACATAAGCTGTCGCCTACCGAGCTGTCAGATCCGAGAGCTCATCTAGATCTGCTATCTGCTTATAGCCTGGCTGAGACATACCGTGTGCAAATCTCTGCTGCCAGAGGGTTAGGGGAAAGGCCCAAAGGGATGTTGAGGAGGCCACAGGAACCAACTGACTCTCACAGCTTATAAATTGACTTTTCAGATCAAACTGTGCTTCCCCCAATGGGAGTTGAATTAGATCCTGGGAAGGATCTAAACTTCCCAGGCCCCACCTCCCCCCTCAGCTGCTTGTGTAGGCTAATGAGTAGCTGGTGGGGGCCAGGCAATGAGACCAGGGGTGAGCTACACCCCTGAAAAGCAACAGGATGATCGTTCCCTTCAGACATTCAGGAAATATCTTCTAAATTCCTGCAATGTGCCAGAAACTGTGTTTGTGTGTTGGTTAGCCGATGAGGCAAATAAGACCACCATGAGGGTCACCTGGAAATTTCTTAAAAAAAAACCACCAGGCTGGCCTATTTAAATAAATAAATAAATAAATAAATAAATAAATAAGCATCTACATATATACATATATGTATAACACAGTAGTCAAGAGTCAACCCTCATTCTTTACAGATTCTATATTCTCAATTCTCCTGCTCACTAAAATGGATTTGTAACCCCAAAACCAATACCCGGCCACTCTCCCTGTCATTTGTATACATTTGCAAAGTGGCAAAAATTTGAGTCACCCCCAGCCTGTATGTGTGTTCCCAGCTGAGTTCGAAGGAGGTGATGACGCCCTGCCTTCTTGTTTCCACCCTCATACTGTAAAAATGTGTACTCTTTACAGCCTGTAATAGTCCATTTTTTCCATATTTTTGTCCTTGTTTTTTGGTGATTTCACCGTGTAAAATGCCCCCCCCCCCCACCATAGTGCTAAAGCACTGTCTATGGTTCTTAAGTTCGAGAAGGCTGTGACACACCTTATGGAGAAAATACGTGTGTTAGGCTTCATTCAAATAGGAGTCATAGCGCTGTTGGCTATGAGTTTGATGTTAATGAGCCAATAAGATATTTCAAACGAGGTGTCTTTAAACAGAAATATACATAAAACAAGATCATATACTGATCAGTTGACAAAAATATTGTGACCAGAGATTGAACCCTGTATTTCCTCTCAGAGTCGTGCTTCAGTATTCACCATCTCAGTGCTCAGAGCAACTTTCTAGAACGTAACTACTGGGAAGAATGAGAATCCATTGTGTGTGTGTGTGTGTGTGTGTGTGTGTGTGTGTGTGTGTGTATAGCATGTCTATCTATGAAGGTCTGTGTTAACTACATTTCAAAGATGTGCACAGACTTTCCATCCACACATGACCTTCTCCTATCAAGGGATGAAGCTTATGACCTTGGCTGCTTTGACCCACAGAACATGGCAGAAGTGACATTATCTGGCTTCCCGGTGCTGACATGAAAAAGGCCTGGAAGCTTCTTCTTTCTCTGTCTTAAGAGCCCTGAGCTGTCATGTTAGAAGTCTAGGCTTCCTCCTGGAGAGAGAGGCCTGGGGAGGGACTTCGTGCAGGGGAGCCCACGTGGAAGGGCAGTGAGCAGTGGTCATACAACCAGACCCAGCCAGGTGGCCATCTGAATGCAACTGTAGGAGAAACCCAAGCACGGCCAGGAGAGCTCTAGCCAACCCAGGGAATCGAGAGATACGGTACCTAGTTGTTGTTTAAACCACCGAATTTTTTTTTTTATTGATTACTCAAGATTTTATTTTGTGATTCCATTTTACTTTGATATGAGAAGAAAAATCAGGAATTGAATTAGATTTGTTATCCAAAGTAGTAAAACAGATTGGAAAAACTTCATGAAAGAAGAAACATTCAGAATCCTTCATGACCCAGCTCATCTATTTTCATCCTAAACATACAGAGAAAAGAGCTAATTCAGAAACCACTAGCTGGATGCGTTTTGATAATTGTTCGTAAGAATATTAGAGACCCAGCTCCTTCTAAACCCTTACGTAGCTACTATTTCTCGAGGTGTGTATAGTTCTTCTCTCACTTCTGATCGGTAACTATAATTCATGAGAGAACGCCTTACTCTGTAAGAGTAAATGTCCCCTGCTTTTGTATATTCAGCTCAGCTGAATTTGTTAGTGCTGTCTCTTACAGGACAACTGGTGAGGCAAAAATTTAAAAATTGGATATATTTAAGGCGTATAACATGATTGGTATACATACACATGATTAAATGATTACTACAGTCAAACCAATTAATTCATCTCCTGACATAGTTAAACTGTGTGTGTGTGTGTGTGTGTGTGTGTGTGTGTGTGATGAGAGCATCTGAAATCTATCATCTTAGCCAATTTCCAGTATAAAAAAGAAAGAAAGAAAGAAAATAAACCACCAATTTACTTGGAGTGGTGGGGGGGAGGGGTAGAGTTGCTATAGCAATAAATGATGCAATAAATGACTCCAAGCGCCATACCACATGCCCCCGGGGCACAACAGTGAAAAAGAGCGGTTGCCACCCTCCTGGCACTGAATCTAGTTGAAGGTGGTTTATATGACTGCATGGGCTAGAAAGGACTTCATAAGATATCTCTTCCAAAATTAAAAAAAAAAAATTAATGTTTACTCATTTTTGAGAGAGAGAGAGACAGTGAGCATGAGTTGGGGAGGGGCAGAGAGAGACAGACACAGAATCCAAAAGCAGGCTCCAGGCTCCGGGCTGTGAGCACAGAGTCCGATGCAGGGCTCGACCCCATGAGCCATGAGATCATGACCTGAGCCGAAGTCAGACGTTTAACCGACTGAGACACCCAGGTGCCCCTCTTCCAAAATTTTAATTAACAGTGGAGAGACTAAATCTAAATGGTAAGGGACTTGCCCAGGTTCGCGTAAGCCGGACTCCCAGCCTGCCTACTGTATAGAGCATTTGCTCTAGAAATTCCATTTGGGAAGGTTTGGGCAGAGCAGAGTTATCAAGCCAGCTTTGCCAAAAGGCAAAAATCTGAAGAGGAAAAACAGGAGACTCCTTATAGACATTCAAACAGAAGCAGCAAGTGTGAGCAAAGGCAGGACAGCCAACCACTCCCGCTCGACCTCTAACCCTCCAAGGGCACCGCACCTGAGGGCTGCGTGGGCTCCCGGTACTCTCCACTGCTGATCTGCCGGATGAGGTTTTTGTGATCGAAACCATCGAAGGGCATCGTTCCATAAACAAGGGTGTAAAGCAACACGCCCAGGGCCCAGCTGTCCACCTGGAGCAGAGAGACGGGGTATACAGGAGCTCAGAAGCAGGTTCCAGGATGCCTTCCAATCCATCGGCCTCACTGCCTGTGAGCAGCCACCCACAACGACCCCAGGAACTGAATGTAGCCCCTTGTAGACAGGTTCCCGCCCGCAGCCTGACAACTATAGGCAAGGCAGCTGTGGGCTGCTTCAGAGCCTGACCTTTCCATTTCCAAAAGAGACCGACAGTACCAATCTACGAGAGAATTTTCTTAAAAAGATTATCTTCTTGGATCCTCAGTATAATGTGAAATAGGTAGGGCCTGGATTATATTCAACCCCATTTGACAGATGAGACTACTGAGGCATAAGAAAGCCAAACGATATTTCCCCAGAGCCCCTCTCTGCCAACGTGATGGGTACAAGACTGGGTCATAGGACCCTTCACTCTTAATCCAGGAATCAATTCCTTCCTGCACCTTCTTCAGATGGGTCAGGGGCTAAAGACTCAAATGCTTATGAGAGCCAGGCACGCAACAAACATGAACAAAGCAAGAGAGAATCTGGGGTATGACGTGGAGCACTGGGGACGGAGACAAACTGTAGAGTGCATTGATCCACCTTACAGAGGCAGCCTCCCCTTGGCAAACTGCTTTCACATAGCCAGGCGAGCCCAGCACTGCCAGATCCTCTGGTTTTTCAGGAGAAGTCAGAAACTGGACTTTGATGTGAAATCTCCCAATTATTAAAGGTTTGGTCAATTTTCTTTTAGAAAGACTAATGTGGCCAAATAAAGCCTGCTTGCTGGCCAGATCGCAGGCTGCCAGCTTAGAACCTTGGAAAGCGATCATCGAAGATCAAAGAAGCATTTATTACCTCTGATAAATGTAGTGTGTCAGGTTTTTAGAGTTTTGTAAATTGAGTCTGATGCTCCTTCCTTACACTCTTATTTTAGAAAGACTTTCTCTTCACTACAATTGGTAGGGGGCCTTGGCATCCTTCTTTCACCCTTCAGCCTTGCCTTCAAACACTCTCAAAGAGATAAATATTTGGAAGGAAACATTTCAACCCACTGAGCAGCTGCTATTTAAGGGATAACCAGCGGGTGGATCTCTCCATAAAGAGAACCTTCCTTTTAAAGAGAATAATCACTCACAACTCACGCATTTTCAAAATAGCATTTACACATACGCATCTCTCACAGTGGCCCTGAGAGCCTTTAGGCATATAAAGAAATAAACACATTTCTCGTGAATTAGAAGGTGCAGTTAAAACTGTAATTCCTTAATCAAAAATACATGCTGTCAAAAATACATGCTAAAAGACAGTCACTGCAGAGTTAGGGGTTTGGGGGTTTGTTTTTTGATTTGTCCTAACAGGGAAAAACTAAAAACAATCTGTCTAAATCTAGGGAAGTGATTAAGTTATGGTATATTCGTACAATAAAACATGTCTTTATCAGAAACCACGCTTTTAAGTAATAACAAATTTAGAAAATGTCACAATATGATTTTAAGCTAACAAAAAGCCAGACACACATATGTATACACATATATATAATGACTGAAATTATTTTTTGAAATGCAGAGATCTACATTGGAAAAAAGTCTAAAAGAGAAGTCACAAAAATGTTAAGGTAACTTTATCTTCTGGATTTCTCAAATTTTCTCCCAGGTGTCTACATTATGGCTTTTATAATCATATAAGGAAAAGTCTTCTTGCATGGCATGCTTTTTTGTTTGTTTGTTCTTAAGTATTGCTTAGATCCAATTCTCACCCTCCCTCCTCCCTTTCCTCCCCTGCCTCCACCCCCCACGCACCAGCAGCTTGCTCACCTCTGGCCCCCGGTAAGGTCTCCCATTGACAATCTCAGGAGAAGCGTAGAGCGGGCTCCCGCAAAACGTTTGCAAGAACTTGTCCTTCTGGTACAGGTTGGAAAGCCCAAAGTCAGCAATCTACAAAGAGAAGCAAGGCAAAGGGGGGCCTGTTAGTGTCCCAGTGAATGTCTACAGTAGATCATCTGAGCACGAGGGCGCCTGCGTGGGTCTGCGGCTGGGTCACCATTCTCTCTCCGGTCCTTAGTCTTCATAAAGGAAGGAGTCCACAGGACCGGGCCAGGGACTCCCAGCTGCAGTCCCTGCCACCCACCACAACTCTGTCACATCCGCCCACTACATGCTCTCTTACTTACTCAAAATTACTCCCCGCGTGGCCTTTATCTTCACTGCAGTTTAGGCCTGCCCTGAGAAACACCCAGGAAATCACTGGCTTAACGTTTCTGATGCACAACGAAGTACACAACTATTAATCTGGAAACCGCCCATCTGTGGCCCAGCTAAACTCACTCTGCACCCACAGAGCGTATCACACGTTGGAAAACCCCGACCAGTGCCGCTGATACCCCGGCATTTTCATCTGCCCGCACTCTGACCAGAACCGTATTTTGCCAAACCTTGTGACCCTAGATGAAATGGACCCGGAGCCCTGGATTTTGAGTCATTGTACAATCAGGCCAAGCTCTGCCGCCAGCCCTCTGTGTGACATGGAACAGGTCCCTTAGCTACTCTGAGTTGAACCACCAGAAAATGGGAACCCAGGATCCTTTCCTGTTCTGGATCACAGGATTATTGTGAGAATTTAAAAAAAAAAAAAAAAAAATCAATCCAGATGAGAACATGAGTGTAAACCTTTAAGTCTTCAAGCTCCACGCAAATGTTTTACCCAACCCTGGTTCTCTGGTACAGCACATCCCTTAGAATCACTGTCTTCTGTCCTGGTTTCATTACCCTCTATGGCAGTACTCTTCTCTGTGTGTGTATGCGTGTGTGCATCGTGCATAAATATATACATCGCATAAATACACACCCATATATACAGATAATGTACATTTATGTACGTATGTATACACACATGCCGTATATATAACTTCCCCTTGCCTGTTAGACTCAGTCCCCGAGGCAGGTTGCATGTTCCACGTCTTCCCTCCCCACCCAACGAATACTTGTCACGCCAATAGGCAAAATATTTTGAAAAGCACAAGGTAATTAATAGAAAAATGAAGAAGGTGGAGGAGGAGGTGGAGAAGGAGGGAGAGAAGGGGAAAAGGAAGGAAGGAAAGAGGAAAGAGAAGAAGAAGGGGAAGGGGAAGGAGGGGAGGAAACTTGCACCACTTACTGAACAACCTCCAAGTATCGAGCACTGTTCTGAGCACTTTCCCCTTCTCTAATCTCATCCAAAACCCCATTTACACAACAACGCAAATGTACTTCATGCCACTGAACTGTGCAGCTAAAAAGATGGTTAAAGTGGCAAATTTCATGTTATGGATATTTAAACACAATTCTTTAAACAGATGAGGAAACGGGTTTAAGGAGACGAGGTGATGCATCTCAGGAGAGCTGACTAGTAGGCGGCCAGGGAAACCCCGTGCCTCTAAAGCTTCAGTCCACTGCGTGCACAAGACCACCCCCCGATAATCTGCAAGCTTCGCCCCAGCCTTCCGAGCTGAGCTTCTGCCATTCTCCGAGCCGATTTCCATTTGGGGCTTATAAATAGGCTGAGTGATTCACATGCGCAGAGCTCAGCCTGGCCCCAGTGGCGCTGAGGCTCTGTCTTGAATGCAGCCCCCAGAATAAGGCTATTTTCTAAAAGTTGTCCCTGAATGAATGAATGGAATGTCATTGAAAGCAGCTGGTGTATAACCACGCTCAGAAAACGCATTCTCTGGGCTCACATTGCACTTAATTGCCCTGAATTCCACTTTCTTATCAAGGCCTCCGATTTGCTTGCAGGAAGTTGGTTGGAAGCTCATGAAGTGTGCCCTGTGGATCAGGAAAGGAAGGGAATGGCTGGATGCCCTGGGGCCTGCCCCAAAGTCCCAGGGCTTCGGCCTCTGCAACTGCAGCCAAGGCAAGGTGCAGACACAGCGCAGTGTGCGTCCCGAGGAAAACATATCCCCTTCCTACCCCGCGATGTCCACGGTTGCCAAATACATGCATGAGAGGCACCCACCACCATGGCGTGCAAATCCCTGCACGCACACACTCACACCAGACTTCTCTAAGTCTGGGTGCCCTTGCTTTCTGTGCAGCTGTCCTGAGAAGCATGTTTATGTTAGGGACCCCTCCCGTCCTCTCAGACTGATGCTTATCAGCCTTGCCCAGTAAAACTGTCATTGCCACTGACAGAAGATTTATAGAAATGTAGATTAGCCCCGTGTTCTTGGCACTTCAACGGAAAAGAAATATTAATCAACACACAAACACACACACACACACACACACACACACACACACACACACACACACAGAGTTCTTAAACCTTGAACCACCTAAACTTAGGCTCCAGCTCTAAGATTTCATACCATCGGGAGTGTCTATCGACTATAAGAGCAGAAATGGCCACTGGTTAAAACTTCTCAAAGCCTCAATTTCTTATCTGTAAAATGGAGGTAGGGAGGTGCCTGGGTGGCTCAGTCGGTTGAGTGACCCGCTCTTGGTTTTGGCTCAGGTCATGATCTCAAGGTTCATGAGACTGAGCCCTGTGTCAGGCTCGGGACCAACAGCAAGGAGCCTACTTGGGATTCTCTCTCTCTCTCTCTCTCTCTCTCTCTCTCTCTCTCTCTCTCTCTTCCTCTGCCCAGTTCATACTCTCTCTCTCTCTAAAACAAAACAAAATAAAATAAAATAAAATAAAATAAAATAAAATAAAATACAGTTAGGAACAGTACCCACCTCCACAGTGTCATGGTGAAAATTACATGACAAAAAGTATGTAAAATACTTAGGACAGACATTGGCACAGAGTTGGGCCTCCATAAATATTTGCTCCGCACCATTAAATCTGTATCCATAGCTTTATCAACCTCACGATATTCAAAACAATACTGGCCTTCCAGTTCAGGAAATTATTTAAGGCCCCTTTTTCAAATTAATACATTTTTTACAAGTGAACGGAACAAAATAAAACTATGAAGTAAAATAGCACAGAAGATACGAGGGAAAGGCAGAAACCATGAAGACAGTGTAATAAAAAAAATCTGGGAAATTTGAAAAACCTGAAATTTTGGAAATAGTGATTTTAAACATAATAAAACAAAAATAACCGAATTAAAGTGGTATTTTGCCGACACATCAGTAACCTTTGGAGAAGGTAACTACTTTGAATTTTTTCTGGTGATGGGCTTGTTCTTGTTTCTTGTTTCTTGTGATGAGCCGTATCGGCTCAAAATCACGTCCCCCCACTGGGCCAATACCCGTTGAGCCTGGGCCCCAGAAAAGAATCTGAGAAGACAACACGCAGGTCCTTAATTTTTGGAGTTTTTGTTATTATCAAGCCATTCTAGAGGGATGTTCTGCTGGATAAAAATCAAAGGTAGAAAGATACGGTAGGAAGTGATTATTCACATTTCCAAATAGCCTCGCTACAACACAGATGCACCTTGAAGACTCCCAGCTAAGTGAAACAAGCCAGACACGAAAGGGTAAATATTATATGGCTCCACTTATACGCGGTACCTAAAGGGGAGGGGCGGTGGTTAACCCTGGGTCTCTGTGAATAATCGCTGTGAGCTCACAGGATGAGAAAGGAAGTATCTGCTTGCCGGTGGGTAAACGCTGGGGGAAAATGCTGACGAGGAGGGTGTTGGAAGCAATGGTCTGACGGTCATTTGCAGTGTCTAAGAGGAAGTGCAGCAGACTGGACAGATCAGAAGAATCTGGGGCTGACCGTGGACGTGGCACTAGTGGGTGATGGGTGGGACCTGCCACGTCACTCAGTTTCCTCACCTGCAAAACGGGACTAATAATAGAACCCACCTCGGAAAGCTGCATGAGAGAGAACAGGCATGAGAAGCCCTTGGAATAGTCCTGGGACGACAGACTCTAGATTACAGCCGTCATGATGTTGCTGGTGGTTTGGTCTGCTTAACAATTGTTTCCTAAGAAACAGTGCCCACCAAAGAGCCAAAGGGAAATTACCATCACCCAATTCTGGAATAGGCATGCCCAGGGTGGGAGGCTGTTCTGCACGACGGGAGAAGTAAGGGATGAAGGGTTTGAGGGTTTGGGTTCAAATCCCAGCCCTACTGCTTACCAGCACTGAATTTAGGCGGTTCGTTAATCCTTCCCTGCTCCACTGAGGTCCGAGGGTCGGCAGCTTCCGCACCAGCTGGGAGATGACCAATCCCAAGTGACCTGGGAAAGCTCTTAACTGAGAGCACCTCCGAGAAGCAGCTTCTCAGGGGATGCTAATGAGCAACCCATCACGGCTCACCACACACTCGACTGGGGCGTCCCTACACAGCTGCCCTGGCCATCATGACTCCGGCAGCCTGGCCGGTGGCTACCAACAGCTCTTGGAGAGTCCCTCCTAGGAACAACTGTCTACAAGCTGCCTGCAGACAAGGCAAGGCAGACTGAAGCAAAGGCCAAAAAAGTGCCCGTGTGTGATGCTCGCCTAGATTTGGGGCAAAATTGGGTCGTAGTGGTAGAAGGCAGAATTTATCAGGTGCCTGGGTTTGCAGTGGCCTTAGGTTTGCAGCCAGCCCCATTGCCAATATCAGCTGCAGGAACCTCCTCATATGTAAAATGGGGATAATCAGACCCACCCCAGTGGAGACATTCTGAGATCCAAATGATGTAAGGCATGTGGCAGGTCCGGCACAGGACTCCGGCTTCTAGCAGAGGCTCAATGAAGATCACTTTCCTTCCCCAGCCTCCGTGCGCTATTCTTGTGCTTGCTGCCCCTTCCCTGTAGAAGGCTGTCAGCACATTTCTATCAAACTCCTACCCATCCTTCAAAACCCATTTCAATCACCACTGCCTCAGCAAAGGCTTTTTGGTCCTTTTATAATTAACAGAATCACTACCTCCTGCTCAGCACTTCCAGAGCACATTATACGGGCACTATGAGGCACATAGCAAGACCATCTGGTCTTGAAAGGAGGATCAGGGAAGGCTTCCTGAAAGAAGAGGCATTCAAGCTGAGACTGAAAGGAGGGGTAGGCAAAGAGCAGTGGGAAGAGCATTCCAAACACAGGGAACCACGTGTGCAAAAGCCAGATTGTCCTCACCACCAGACAATTACATTCTATATCTGTTCGTCTGTTGCTTGTGTCCCCAGCTGGAATTCTAGGTCAAATTCAGTACCTTATCTTCCTCACTCACCTCTATATCCTTCTCATGGCTCATTATGCTAGCTTAACAACTGTGAGATTCCGAGCTCCGAGAAGATAAGGACCTGGCCCTCTGGTTCACTCTTAAATCCCAGCATCCAGCACAGGGCCAGGTACACAGTAGGAACTTAGCACATGTCTGTGGTCGAATATGTACTGCCCATAGGACATACTCAATTTGCTCAACAAGTAAGTGCGGAAATAGATGAGTGAATGCAGCCACGCACGGAGACACGCATATACACAAACACACACGTAAACGGGTGAGTGAACAAATGAACAGATTAATTAATGCACAAATGCAGAGTTCTCACACGCATGTAATCAAAGTCCAGAGGCCATATCCTGGGCTGCCCCATTTGGCCTTGTGAAGCCTCAGAGATTTCTATCTCATCTGAGCCCTAGCCATTCAAATTTCTTTTCTTGTCCGCAGCCGCTTTGAGTCCATTGTCATCAGGGGCAACAGGCCATCTCCCCTATGCCCCTCTACTCTGAGCCCTGGGAGCTCACCAAATTCCCAGCCCTCTTTGAGGAGGCGAGCTGACCCCAGTGCTTGGACCTCTTACTTCAAGGCATTTTTACAGGACCCTTCTATGGGAATTGTCAGCATTCCATTCTCCCAGAGAGTGGGATGTGAATCTGGCCCATTTTTATTAATTGCAAATTACTGCTATGCCGGGCGTCTATTTTAGTAGACATAGGCTTACTCCACAGAGGCTTTAACAGGCCTCTCCGCAGTACGGAATGCAACCCAAAGAGGCACATTGCTCTCATTCTTTCTGCCAACAGACTATGTGAATATTTTTAGAAGCCACGCCCTCTCACAGTGGCCCGATAAATAATTTCCGATGCCAGATGTGCCCTTTGCAAATCAACATCAGGCAGAGAAGAGGGGACAACGAGTTACCTGGCTCACACCAAAGTGCAGCGGCATGGGTCACATTTAAACCAGCAGCATGCTTAGAGGCTTCCTGGGCCAAAGCCCCCCTCCCCCACCCCCAGCCTTGGAATCCCGGAGAAGGAATCGGAACTGAGGCTAGGGAGGCACCAGCGGGGGCTGTGAGAGGGACCTGGCTGCTCTTATACCACTGGCTTTCTCCCTCCGGTCCAGACGCTGATGCCACGGGCTCTCCAGAACACGGAGGCCGGTGTGTGGTCATGTGTCTGCTGCCTCTGCCACCAATGCCCTTTCTAAGTATGTTTCCAGCAAAGTGCTGAGTCAGGAAGAGAAGAGCCAGGCAGATACAGCCGGAAGACAAATCAACACCAGCTGAAACGTATTTAAAAAAAAAAAAAAAAAAAACCTTGGGAGTGCGTGTGAAATGATGAAAGAGAATTTGCCCAGAAGTCAAACATGGGAGTTGTAATCCTGGCTGTCATCCTTTCACCCCAAACCCAAACAGCTTAAGGGTACCCGCTGAGTGGCAAGTGCTGGGCCACACTCTGCAGAAACAGAGACACAGAAAGCCCACGTGGATTCACTGCACATGATCATGGGCATGTCACCTAGACCTCCTGGGCCTTCATCATGCAAACAAGGGGGTCAGAAAATGACCCTCAACGTTCTTCAAGCTCTAGGATTCTCAGATCCTAGCAGCATCCCTTGAACAAGCAGAAGGAAAAATTCGTGTTGGGGAATGGGAAGGTTTGGTTTCTGTGCGGATGTGGGGGGGGGCGGCGCGCACGTGGGCCCATGCTTGTGTGTTTCACCTTGGGCAATGCCAGGAGTAGAGATTCTTAACGAAAAGACAAGGAAAAAAAACATGACCGACAGTTCAATTTTATTAACGTTCTGTGCATCTGCTATTCACCTACACAAAGGACAGGGAGCGCAGACTGAAGGGCTCAGTCCTGGGAGCCTTGAGGCCCAACCCCACTGCCCTATGGCTCATTTGCATGAGCCATTCCCCTGGGCTCCTGCACCATTGTTCCCAGAACAATTGCCTTCAGAATTCTAACTATTCTTCTCCTCCATTGGGAAATTCTATGACTCCATAGGAAGCTATGTGCCTTATCACTTCTGGGACTACATCATGGGACCAAGAGGTCACATTGTCCCACAGAAGCCAATCCCCAAGCCAGAGGCTCACATTCCAGGCCTTGTAAAGACTACATTTCATTTCGAGAGCTCCCAGGACAGGTGGCAGGACGAATCGAATCGCTGAGAAAGTTACCAGGGTGGAAGGCACAAACCCTTAGAAATGTGTCCCTCGGACAAGAACCCAATTATGTAGCCATGGCCTGGCCACCACTCCCCAGGACCCAGGCACCTTCCCAGCAGCTGACTCCCTGTTCAACGTCCTCTCCGGTGGCCAACCATTTGCACGGGTGCTTCGGACACGAAGACCTGAGTGCCAAGTGCTCTGAGTATATATGGTCTAAAATCCTCACATTTGCCATGGACTCCCCAGGACTGGGCACAAGGCATGGCACATGGTAATTGCTCAGGAAGTCCTCACAGTAAAATTGTACAAGTAGACAACAACCCCCAGAGACAGGACCAGCATCCCTACTGGACAGACAAGGAAACTGAGGCTTAGGCAAGTACTTTATCCAAAATACCGCCATTAGTAAGGGGCAGAGTTGCAGTTCAAATTCAAATTCCAGGCTACCCAACTCCGAAGCCGCCGCTCTGAACCCTGACTCACTGCACGGTGCTCAGCAATGTATGAAGCTACACACGGGGTATCTCGCTTAGTCCTCAAAACAAGCCTGTGAGCATCACGGTTACCCCGTTTTATAGTCATAGAAGCAGGATGAAGTGGCTTTCCCGATGGCAAACAGCTAGTAAGCGACGCAGGACAGAATTTTCCAACCACACAGTCAGTGCTCCTACGAGAGTAATCCAGCCACTTTGCCAGAAAGGGAGAGACCTTGAGACTGCACCGCCTGATCCTAGGAAGAAATTGTTTGATCAATTGTTCCCTCCTTATTCTGTGGACTAACACAGAAATGTGTGACCACAGTCCACTACTCGCAAAAACAAGACGTCACCCTAACATGGCTTCTGGGAGCCTCTCAAAGGATGATGCTAACCCATGGTTGCCACCATGATCTGCAAACAGAATCCAAACTCCAAGAGAGGAAACAGTCTCCCTGTGATGCACCCCCTCAAATGAAAGCAACAGCAACAAAAAGAGGGGACGATGCGAGGTCATTCCCATGCTTTGTCCCGGGACCAGGGATGAGGCACTAACGTCACCAGCGGCCAATTAGAGGGATCCCCTGGTGGCGGGAGTACTGAGGCCATTTCATAATGAAACCCATGCGGCGGGCTCCGTTTATTTTGAAACCGTATTTGCTTATTTTGCAGACGTGATCAAAAGGACATTCAGAGAGCTCCGCAGGAGGCACTTGAACCCCGTTGGCCGGGAGAGCTTGCTTCAGCTCCAGCGGCAGCCAGCAATAACACTCTCCGTAAAAGTACGCCCATCCCTTGATGGTATGCTCCTTCCCGGCACACAGGCCATCATCCTGTCCGGCAGCTGCCCAGTCCCAAGGCTGGCTACGGGGGTGGGAGGGTTGGGAGGGCGACGGAGGCGGCATGGCAGTGACAGGAGGGTGGCAGGGAAGGAGTTCCAACTCTTCCATAACCTGGGACCCTGCTGGCAACTCAAGCATTCAGGAGTCACGCAGACATGGGCTCACACCCCAACTCCACTACTTACGGCTGTGTCACCTTGGGTTGGTTACTTAACTTCTCTGTGCCTCATGTCCCTATCTGTGAAATGACGTAAATGACAGTGCCCGTGTCACAGGGTTGGGAAGATTAAATGGAAGTGATATCAGGCAAGTTGCATATCAGTAACACGTGCAACCTGTTACTGTCTTAAGTGTTTTTATGGCGATGATTATAGACCATGAGCTTCCTGGGGACGGGGACTGTATTGTAGTCATCCCAGCGTGAAAATCAATGTCTGGCATCCAGTTGGAGCTGGAGAAATGCTTGTTGAATCTCAGTGTTCGAACTGAACTGATGGCTTAAGCCCCATGACTGCCTGCACCTGCCTGCCAGGGCAGGACCCAGAAGCCTCCTGATGCCTGACTTCTGGGCTGCAGCCTGGGGCTGCTTGAGCCCCACCAGCCACAATCCCCAGGCTCTGTATTATCAATCAACGAGACACGAGCTTTACCTTAATATTGCAGTTGTCATCAAGCAGTATGTTTTCCAGCTTTAAGTCCCGGTGGACCACACCGTTCTGAAACGAGAACACAGGCAGGGGACTGAATGGGATGGCTGGGATGAGATCAAGAAAGAGGGAGCAGGAGCCGGGGAGCAAAGGGAACGATTTGACAGATTAAAGAAATGCGCCAGCCCGGTGGTCTTCGCCTCCAACCTTCAGGGCCTTTCTCACTGTCATGAAGCTCTCCGCCAGCCAATGACCAGGGACAGGAGAGCATTAGTCACTTGCTGTGTGGTTAAGGGAAAAATGACTGGAATCCATTCTCCCTCAGAGCCTGTAAAACAGCAGGGGGATTCTTTGTCGGAATGTAATTCCACTGTGTGAAAGCAATATAGTCGCAGGCAGGGACAAACAATGTCTGTCTGTAGTGTGCTTCCCAGGGAAGAAGCAGATATCTCTGCTGGAGACTCAGAAAGTGGGGCTCACAGACCTGGCTTGTCTGTCTGTCTGTCTGCCTGCCTGCCTGCCTGCCTGCCTGCCTGCCCAAGGCTGGAAAGGGGTCTTGCTCAATCTATTATGACCCATGAAACTAATCCAGATCTGTTCAGAGCAGAACAGTAACACCCCCATGGAAATTTCCTAAGCAGCTGGGAGGGAAGGTTCAATAAGTCCCTCTCTGCTGGCAGGACTCAGGTGATGGGAGGCAGTGGGAGGGGCCAATGAGACCCTAGCCACTGGACTGACCAAAACGGGTCCCTGCCATCCTACGTGACCTTTCCATTCAAGCCAACTCTGGCAAGGCTGGACGCTGAAGTGCAGTGACAGGCTGCTAGCCTACAGAGGGTGAAAAGCAGTCATTAACCAACAGACTGCTGGTCTATACAGCAGTAACAACTAGTACTCATGATCCTTTGTAAAACCCAATGATCTTTTAAAGAGGTGGGTGGGCGTGGGCAGAGAGGTGGAACTGAGACAACCAGCTACATTGGGCTGGGTGCACAAACAGCAGGGAGTGAGTTTTTAATATCATTCGGCATAAAGGGCATTTGCAATCGAAGCTGCTGTTGTAAGCAAACCAACTGGCTAGAAGTTCTTAGTGTTTCATTCAAGATTTCTTTAGGGGAGCCTGGGGGGCTCAGTCGGTTAAGCTTCAGACTCTTGATTTCAGCTCAGGTCATGATCTCACGGTTTGTGAATTTGAGCCCCCACATCAGGCTCCGTACTGCCGGAAGCTTGGGATTCTCTCTCTCTCCCTCTCATTCTGCCCCTTCCGTATGCACTCTCTCTCTCTCTCTCTCAAAGTAAATAAACTTAAAAAAAAAAAAAGATTTCTTTAGTTCAGAATCTGCATGTTTATAGTTGGTGCTTTATTGTTTATTTTCCTTTCCATTTGACAGTTCCTAATATCCCCAAAAGCACTGGCTGAAGACACAAAAGTTGTATTTCTGCTACGCTTTTTCTAACACAAAACTTCAAGGGTGTGTTTTGAATTCAGAAATATACAAACCAAGGCTCCTGGAGGAAAGATACAGAATACAAGCTACCCCATTTTTCTCTAGTTTTAAATATTGGGAGCAGTTTGATTTATATTATTGCATTCTTAGTTTTCATAGTAAGATGGAATGAGTCTGATAAAGCCCCATTCATACAAAAGCCTAAGTCTTCACCCACTACAAATAATGAAAATATGATCTGTAGTGCTTTAAGATGATGCCTGATGATAAAGCATAAAATACTGTTTGATCTGATCGGTGCCTTTGGAGTCAGCAAAGTGAAGTCCAACAGTGTTCATGTGGATTAAAGGTTTTAGATTTGAATTATCAATTTTTTTTTCAATTTTTTTAATGTTTAATTTGAGAAAAAGAAAGAGTACCAGCAGCAGAGGGCCAGAGAGATAAGGAAACAGGGGATCTGAGGCAGGCTCTGTGCTGACAGCAGAAAGCCTGATGCAGGGCTCAAACTCCTGAGCCATGAGATCATGGCCTGAGTGGAAGTCAGCCGCTTAACTGACTGAGCCACCCAGGCGCCCCTGAATAATCATCTTCTAATTACTTACAGAGCCACTCTCAATTAACCAGAATATTTAACAAGCCAGAAGGCCCCATGTGGCAATCATTTGAATGAAGAAGCTGACTCTATTTTGGACGCCATGTTGGATTCAAGTCACTATTGTCCTCAAAGTGAAAGAATGTTCCTGAAATAAACAGCATGAATAGGATGGGATCATGATTAACATAATTAGTAACAATGATGGCTGAAATACGTCTTGGAATCATTTGTGCCCTTCATTTCCTTCTCCAGAGACAAAGGGTAGCCAACCTGGCTGTATCATGAGCACATCCCATATAGGCGTGTTGCAATAAAACGTACGTGTAGGTACGTAACCTTTGAGGAAAGATACCAAGAGCACAGGAAGTTCACAACCAGCGGCTTAGTAATTCCACTTCTGGAATATCCCTCAGGTAAATCATTCAGATGAGTGGAAGAGGTTAATATATAAAAACAGCAATCACTACAATATATTAACCAGAAATTGGAACCAGCCTAAATGGCCAACAATCACAATAATTACAGAGAATTTTTAGTAATGTGGGAAAATGCTTTACATTAAAATACTAAGTGAAAAGGCAAGACACCAATATAAAAAATACACATACTGTAGTGCTCTGGATCCTGGAATGGAGAAAGGCCATGGTGGCGGGGCGGGGGCGCCCCTGAACTGGTGAATTCTAAATAAAATCTGTAGTTTTGTTAACACCAATGCCTGAACGTTAGTATCTTGGTTTCAACAAATGTACTGCCGTAATGTAAAATGTTCCCATTAGGATAAAAATGAATGAGGGGCAAATGGGAGCTCTCTGTATTATCTTGGAAACTTTGCTGTGCCTCTAAAATTATTCAAAATAAGAAATTCGAATAAAAAAATAGATGTTAGGAGTAGGAGGAAAAAGACTGGAAAGCAATGCACAGAAGTGTCACTTGTGGGCTATGCCTGGATTCTGGAATCATGGGGGATGGTGATTTTCTTCTATTTTATAAGCTGTCCATGCACATGACAATGAACAGATATCACCTGAATTCTATGAAAAGGATCACGTGGCACCATCAAAACCATCTGTGAGCAAAGCCCCGGCAGGGCGCAGCCATACCTTGTGACAATAGTGCACGGCGGAGACGATCTGGCGGAAGAAGTGTCTGGTCTCCCTCTCGCTGAGGCGTCTCCTCTCACTGATGTAATCGTACAGCTCCCCCTTGCTCGCGTACTCCATGATGATCACAATCTTGTCTTTGTTCTCAAACACTGTGGGGGGAACGGCAACACACAAACACCCTGTTTATCCAACAAGCTCACTTATGACCGCGGAGGGTGCGAGGGAGGACGACGGAGATGTCACTGAGCAGGGGCCAAGAGACAGCAGTCAGGCCATTCCACGTCACGAGGGGCTGGGCGAGTGTTCCGGCCAGGTAGATGATGACATCACGCTATTGTTACTGGACACACCTCTGTAACCCTAAGGGAAAGATGTCTCTCTCCTCCGATGGCCCCCTGCCCTTGATCAGGATCATTTTCCTAAGCCCCGCCCACCAGAACAGCCCCCTGTACGACAAACAACTACCATCTATTAACCATTCGATATGGACCAGCGACCTGGACCTCACGAGCTACTCTGAGCCCAAAATGGGTGGCTGGACTTGTCACCTCTTTGCTCAAAACCTTCTAGACTTTTCCATCTCACTCAAAATAAAACCCAAAGTTCCAAATGTGGCCCACCAGGTCCTGTGTGGTCCTGTGGACCCTTCCTAGCCCTATTCCGTGTATTCTGCATATTTATTGATTTAGTCACCCCCCACTAGAATGTAAATGAGGGTTGGTCTATTTCATTCACCGCTGTATCCCCAGCACCCAGAGAGCTGACATGGGAGCTCAATGAACAATTATCGAATGAGCGAGCTCACAACTTCCTAAATGCATTCTGGACAGTTACAGTAAATAATTACATAGCCTTTACTCTGTGCCAGGCGCCTGTAAGGTTTTGAGTGCCCCACATGTACTGACTTATTTAGATCTTACAGCAAACTTTCAGGGAAATACCAGTAATTGAAAAATGAGGACACTGAGAGCGAGAGAAGTTCGGTGACTTGCACAGTTTGGCTGAGCTGCCAGACTGGGGCACGGCTCACCTCTGGCTTCTGGCCTTGGTGGGGACCTGTGATGCCATAGCCTAACGTGGTGGCATGTCAGGACCACTGCAATCACCACCCCCCCAGGCTGGGTTCCCTGACTCAGCCCCTTCCTACTCAACCCCCACACCACCAGGGAACTTGTTTTCCAAAATGCTTGTAACCGCTTCTCTCTCCCCAACCCTGATACTCTCTCTAGCAGTGATGTTCACACTCTGCCAGACTAAGTCCTTGGGAGGGAGCATCAAGCAGATGCCCATGGGTACTGGTCAGGGGAGGCCACAAAGCACAGGCACTAGGTCCTCGACACCACCTGCACCAAAGCCACTCTGCTGCTATCTGGGCTCCATTAGGCTTTCACAAAGATGGACATCCTTTGAGCAAAGACAAAATAAAGAATAATTGTTTTGAAAGCCATCACTCCCGAGGGACATGGTATAAAAACCTTGGTAGGGTACCCAAGACCGTCCCTGAAGGACCCCTGCCTACATCCCTCCATCTCATCAGTCTCTATCATTCCCCCATCAGGCCCCTGATGTCCACCAGTGCTGGACCATTTGTCGTTTCTCACAATCAATCTCTCTCTCTCTCTCTCTCTCTCTCTCCTCCCCCCCCCCCCATGACTGCTGTTTCCCACCTCCTTCCCCCTGCCTTTACTCCTCCCTGTCTTACCTGTCTGGGAAACTCCAGCCCGTCTGTCAAGATTGAACTCAAATATGGCTTCTATTTTGCTTCCCTCTGCCCCTCACGGTGGCTACTTAATACGTGTATCACTTTCAAACCGCATACACTTATGTGCTGATTTACATACCCATTTCCTCTGCCTGGACTGTGAGTCTGGACTTTTAGACATAAAACGTTTGGTTTTAGAATCAGACATGCCTAAGTAGGATTCCTGGTTCTGCCTCTTAATTGCTGTGTGACTCTGGGGGAGTTGCCCGCCCTCTCTGTGCCTCAGTTTGGTCAACTGTAAAATGTAAATAACGTTAGTAAGCACTTCTTAGAACTGTTGGGAGTGTTTACTGACACTGGGTTTGTTAAATGCTGAGAACAAGGCCTGCACTTATGGCATGTGCTCAGTGACATTAGCTAGTATTGTGACTATTGATATTATCGGACCCCAGGGCCTTAGCACGGAGCCAGACTCCCAGATACGCTCAATGAGAACGGAATGGAACTGGAACATGCCCCAGGCCTGGGTCCTCTGTCCTCCCACACCTTGTCACTGGCTGTTAGAAGCTCAAGCCCCTCCAGTTCCTTCTTGGCTCCTTCAAGTCCAGCCAAACGTCTCTGATAAAATGAAGGGGGAAGGAGGAGGAGGAAGGAGAACAGCCAGACAAAATTGGCCGCTTCTGCGTCTGCTGGCCTCGGGGTACCCTGCAGCCTTGGCTCCTGCCAGGGATTTCAGCCTGTTGTGCCCTTGTCATTAACAATAAACTTTGGAAACTGGAAAAGCTGCCTCGGGAGGCACGGCTCAGGCTCCAAAAATGATGGAGCGATATGTCCTGGACAGGACGGCGGGCTTTCTAACTTTAAAAGGTGGGGAAGGAAGAAAGAGGGAAGGTTCCTGACAGGGGAATAAAGACGGAGCCTCACCCCCCTACACACAAAAGTCTGATGCGCCCCCAGGGGAGGCCAAACCACTGGTCCCCTCAGTGACTATCAGAAGGTGTGGGTCACTCGCCTGGTACAGACACAGGACCGTTTCGGTCTCTTTCCAATCGGCTGACTTGGTATCATGCAGACATAAACACACTCGTTTCAACAGTTCACTGCACCGGACATTTTCCTACACCGCTTCCATTAGTAAGCCCTTCTAGGCCTCCCTCTAAAATACATCTCGATCCTGTCCTGTCTGACGTCCCCAGCCACCCCTTGCTCTGCAGGCCCCGTCCTCACTGGTCTCCTGCCTTTCACTCTTGCCCCTCAGCTGGCTTTCTGTATTTAGAGGGGGGCCGGGGAACGGTTCCAGATGCATGTGCTGTGGAGCACAGTCCTGCAAGAGACTCTGGAGGAAAAATAGGGTTCTGCGATCAAACGTAGGCAAAATGTTTGGAAAATGCTAATTAATGCTCGATCGCCCTAGGAGAGTCTGGTTTCTTTGACTCTGAGTTTGGCGGGTTGATTTGGCCATTTCAACACCCCTCCTGACATCCAGAGGAACTAACTAGGAGCCAGGCTGGGGAACAATGGGTGAATGATAAAATATCCAAGTGATAAAATCGGCCCCTCAACTGTTGCTGGCCAGGCTTGCGGGCAGCGGGTGACAGAACTGTCCAAGTGGCCATGCTGGGCTCTGCGACCCCACCCCCACCCCTCCCACAGGAAGCAGCACAGCCAAGCCTCAGGGTCAAGGCCCTGATTGCAACCCTAGATTAGCTAAATGCAAACAACAGTTCCAGACTTGGTACCTCAATGACTCACCAAGGAGGCCGCACGCTGATATGCATGAAGCTTCCAGTCCCTTCTGGTAACAGCGCACTTACTGAAGGCTACTGTGTGCTGGCACTGAGCTGACCAGTGTTTTGCAGGAATTGTGTCATATGGCTTTGGTCCTATGAGTATCCTCATTGTACACGTGAGAAATTCCGGGTTCACCCAGGTTAATAACTGCCAGGGCCACGGAGAGTCTGAGGCGGAGCCAGGCCGAGGCCCGCAGTCTGACCACACACACCACGCTCTTAGCCACTACACTAATACACCTGTACGTGAACCCCCGGACCCTCGGTCTCATCAGTCAAACACAGGGCACTCCGTGAGCTCACGGGTCTTGCTCCTCCAGCGTGCTGCCTCGGCCAGTGCTCGATAAACGGGAGCTCTCCTCAGAATTACTTCATCTGCCTCTTAGCCAGCTCCTGCAAAATAAAACCCTACGACTTCGCTCTCCCCGCTGCCATGGCTCTTTAAAACGTGTTGTGGCTGCCGCAGAATCACAAAATTTTCAAGCAGGAAGGGCCTTAGAGATCAAGTACTATCTTTTCCAGAAGAGCCCAGGGTTTCTTTTTTTTTTTTTTTTTTTTTTAACGTTTATTATTTTTGGGACAGAGAGAGACAGAGCATGAACGGGGGAGGGGCAGAGAGAGAGGGAGACACGGAATCGGAAACAGGCTCCAGGCTCCGAGCCATCAGCCCAGAGCCCGACGCGGGGCTCGAACTCACGGACCGCGAGATCGTGACCCGGCTGAAGTCGGACGCCCAACCGACTGCGCCACCCAGGCGCCCCCAGGGTTTCTAACGTATAAGAAAGAGCAAGGCCTTGGGGGTCTGTCCTGAAGAATAACCAGCTTCCGCGCCCTTGGCCCCAGACTCCTTGCCCACGTTAAGGTCACTATCAGTGAGGCGATAGGAACTCTTGGCCATTCTTCTTGCAAAAAGGGCCGCTGCCCTTGGGCACTTTTACAACTGGTTATTTATAAGCCCAGAAATCTTGTCTGTGTTTATGTTATTAGTCACTAAGCAAAAGCTTATTTTCCACCAGTTGGGAAGGGTTTCCTTTCTGAAAAATGAAAGCCTGTGTCTCTTGGCCAGTCTTACCCAGAAGCCCAGTGGCTCCAGAATGGTAAGGAAAACTATGGCCCTTGACATGCCAGGCCTACCAGGAAAATCAAAACCCTGAATAGAAACTTAGCTCAGCTTGAGTCAGCCCACAGCACGGGGCCATGTCCATTTGCTGCAGATCCAGGATTTAAGTGTAACGATACACTTCTGTAAAGTACCCGCGATGGGAATGGCACGGGGGGCGGGGGGGGGGGTGGTATTGAGAGAAGACTTTACCAGGTTAAGACTGGGGAAGGCAGGCCAGGCAGAAGGAGCTGCATGAGCCAGGGCAGAGACAGGAGCAGAACCAGCGGCAGTTGGCAGGTGCTAGGAACTAAGGGACAAGAAAGGAGAGGAGGGCTATGAATGAGCCGCAGAGGCCTTGAATGCCCACAAGGAGTTCTGGGGGGGGGGGGGGGGGCGGGTCAGATATGCCCAAACATTGCGAAGAACCATCATAAATGGACGGAGCAAGGGACAGGGCAGCACCCAGGATCCTGGGCCTAAGAAATAGACCAGAGCTCCCTTCCCCTCAAGAGCCTTCCCTGTCAGATGGTAATCTCTCCTTCCTCAGAAGGCTTA